AAAAAAAAAAAAAAAAAAAAAAGGGAAAAGAGAAAAGAGATCGAAGCCGTTGTTCGTTTGCGGACAAAGAGGAAAAAGGGCGACCCTCTCGAATGAATCACTCCTTTAAAATATCCCGATGGATCAAAGCGGCGACTTCTCCTTCGATCCAACCCTCCCCATCCCTGCTCCCCTTTCCACGGAATCGAATAATTAACCGAACCAGAGAGACGGTTCTTCTCCGTCTGCGGGGACGATTATCGATTCACGTATCCCCCTCGTCTGCCGCCTTCGACTCGAAAACGATTGACGCGTCGAGGACGCGTGGAACAAGTTCGAGCTCGATATTTGAATACCGAGATATATACGTAGTTGTCGCGCAAAAATTTGAATTAGTCCTCCAGTTATTTTCGAAATATTTCGACGATCTTTTCGACTCGAATTACGCGAGCTTTGATATTTTTTCTTTTCGACGAAACTTTCTACAACTTTTTCGAAAATCTCGAAAAGGCTTTCGAGTTATATTTTCGAGCTAAACTTTTAAATCTATATATGTATCGTGCACGTAACTTTGCGATAGAATAAGGGCGCATTTTGCCGGAATAATTCTACTAATGCATCTCTACTAAGGCTTCGAGGCTATAGGTCACGTAGAAGGTGCAGGAAACAGGATTTCTCCTTCACGATTCTAAAATCTACTAAAGCTCCATCCACTGAAAAAAAGGAAAAACACAAGTTTACAATAAACTCTATCCTACTTATCGATCTCTTTTCGTTAACAATATATATGACTCTCAGCTTCCCTTAAAGGAACAAGTTCTTCCATCCATAATTCTAATCAGCCTGATCACTTTCAAACGAACCGTTCAAACGGCGATCGAGCTGATCGAGAAGCGAAGGTTAACTTCAATCAAACTCGGCTCGTTATCGACGACGATCCGTGTCTAATCTCTCGAATAACGAAATCAAGTCGATGCTTCGAATCGATCCACGAAACAGCGTTTAGAGAAATGGCGAGTTATTCGCCATTGTCGATTTTCCAGACAGGTCCTAACCATTCACTCTAGGTGGTCGCCGATTAATTCTGTTCGCAATTTGTTTAGAGTATCGTTGGATCGTTTGTAAGCGCAATTCGATCGTTGTAGCATTCTCGTGCTGGCAAATTTCATAGATAAGTGGATCGGCGAATGATCGTATCGCGAGCTTTTAAGGGAAATGGAAATCGTAGGGATTCGTCCAACGGTGGAACGCTCGATTCGGGCACCACTGCTCAAAAATGGACGTGCGAGCGGTTACGGAGAATACCATGATTCGCGACCGACTGCTCGGCTGGAATTCAGCGGAATTCAACGGAACGCGCGATCGATTTTTCAACGCCCTTTTGATCGTTCCGCTTTTCTCGCAATCTCTAAACAATTTTATCCGCTTCGAATCCGTGACGTATAACGCGATGACTCTTGTATCTGTGATAATAAATTTTTACTCTTGCTTTAAAAATTACGAGCCACGTGTAGAAGCACAGCGTGTCATCGATTTTTCAACGTTCTTTTGATCGTTGCGCTTTTCTCGCAATCTCTACTTTTGCTCTAAACAATTTTATCCATTTTGAATTCGTGATGTATAATACGATGACTCTTGTGATAATAAATTTACACTCTTGCTTTAAAAATTATTTTAAATGACGTGTGTAGAAGCACAGCCTGATCACTCGTGTCATCGATTTTTCAATTTTCTTTTAATTGTTGCGCTTTTCTCGCAATCTCTACTCTAAACAATTTTATCCGCTTCGAATTCGTGACGTATAACGCGATGATTCTTGTTATCTGTGATAATAAATTTTTACTCTTGCTTTAAAAATTACGAGCCACAGCTTGATCACTCGATTTTGATCGTTGCGCTTTTCTCGCAATCTCTACTTTTGCTCTAAACAATTTTATCCACTTCGAATCCGTGACGATAGAGACGTATAACATGATGACTCTTGTGATAATAAATTTACATTTTTGTTTTAAAAATTATTTTAAATGACGTGTGTAGAAGCACAGCGTGATCATCGTATCATCGATTTTTCAATCTCTACTCTTGCTCTAAACAATTTTATCCATTTTGAAATTCCATTTGAATTCGTGTATAATACGATAACTCTTGTGATAATAAATTACATCTTGCTTTAAAAATTATTTTAAATAAGCCACGTGTATAGAAGCACAGCGTGATCACTCGTATCATCGATTTTTCAATATATGTTCTTTTGATCGTTGCGCTTTTCTCGCAATCTCTACTCTTGCTCTAAACAATTTTATCTACTTCGAATCCATATAATACGATAACTCTTGTACATGTGATAATAAATTTATATTTTTGCTTTAAAAATTACTAGCCACGTGTGTAAAAGCACAACACGATCAGTCGTGTCATCGATTTTTCAACGTTCTTTTAATCGTTACGCTTATGTCGCAATTTCTACTCTTGCTCTAAACAATTTTATTTACTTTGAATTCGTGACGTTACACTGTTACGTAGGAGCATATAATACGAGTATTCATGAACGTGTGATAATAAATTTATTTATAAATTTATTTATTCTTGAAAATTGTATCTATTTACGAGCTACATATATAGAAACATAACATGATGACATATACGTGTGATCAATTTTTCAACGTCCTTTCGATCGTTGCTTTTCTCGCAATTTCTATTCTCATTCTAAACAATTTTATCCACTTTAAATCCATGACGTACGCATAGGAGCGTAATAATTCCTGTACGTGTGATAATAAATTTATACTCTTGTTTTAAAAATTACGACCCACGTATATAGAATCACAGCATGATCACTCATATACGATAGTACGATCGATCGATTTTTCTTTATTTCGTATTCTTTATTCTAAAAAAAAAATTTGCATATTATAACTTTGCTGCTCGTTATATTTCCTCCCCTTTAAAATAGATTTGAACGTGTTTTTGCAGGATGCCTAACGAGAACGCGCCAGTGTGCGGGTGCGGGGTGGTGGTCGATCTGCCGAAATCGCGAAATGGCGCGCTGTCCTCGAGACGGCTCACGATCAGAATACCCAAGTCGAAGGGTGGGAAGTCGGACGGGCGGGCTGCCAAGAAGCAGCAGCAGCAGCAGCAGGACGACGCTCGTGGGAAGAGCAGAACTTCCGAAACGGGAAGTTGCAGCTCGGTGACGGAGCAAGCCAGACCGGTTACGAAAAGCAGCAAACACGAGAAGCGTTTGAATCACTCGAGGAGGACCCGAAGCGCGGACAGGGCGGAGTCGCACTACACTTATATAGGTCGGTAAAAATTTAATGAATGAAAACAAACGTGAATTTCGCGACCCCCTCCCCCCAAGATTTCGAATCGTACGAATTATTCTCGCTCGAACTATTGTCATTCAATTCCTATTTTTATTGAATCAATTATTGGATTCACGATTTAAAAAAAGGAAAAAAAAATTCATCAGAATTTTATCAAGGATCGATATTCTTATATATATTAATTTCCAGTCTTTTGAAAATATATTTCGATACTCTTTTGAGACACTGCACTGTGCATCTTGAAAGAAAAGATTCTAATTCTAAATCGAACGAGAGACCCT